CGGATGGGGACTCGGGGGGGGGGCTGGCTCAAGGGGAGGGGTGAGTGCATTGGGATGGGGGCTGGTTCTGTGGGAGGTGTGAGGGGCTGGCTCTGGGGGAGAGGTGGGTGCATTGGGGCTACTTATAATTATTTTAAATAAAAGATACTTTATAACAAAAGGAAAAACTAAAAAAAAATCTGGTTACATTTTAAAGACAAACAAACACTGAGATCAGGCAGGGCAAGCTTGAGGGCCGCAAATGAAACCCGACAGCTTTCACAGACCCCAAAGAAAATGTCCTTCCATTGCAAAGCTGTAATTATGTACTATTATAGAGTATGTTGTAGGTATAGTTCATATATTTTATAATGATAATATCATTAATATATTTTATAATCGAATATTATAGGTTATGTTTCAGGTATATTTTATAATATTTTTCAGGTCTTGTTTTAATATAGTACAATAATTTGATGCATAAAATTGTTATTTACTCATAAAATAATGTTTAATTTAAATATAAATTGAAGATACTTTTAAATGCTGTCTATGATACACAACTTGCTTTGTTGAAATAAAAGCAAGTACAGACCATGGTCAATCAACTAGAACAGGCTTCTGGTAAGTTTGAGATTTTGCATAATTTTAGGTTGGACATTAGGAAAAAGTTCCTGCCTGTCAGGGGGTCAAACACTGGAATAAATTGCCCAGGGAGGTTGTGGAATCCCCATCTGTGGAGATATTGAAGAGCAGGTTAGAGAAATGTCTCTCAGGGATGGTCTAGACAGTATTTGGTCCTGATGTGAGGGCAGGGGACTCGATTCGATTCGATGACTCTCGAGGTCCCTTCCAGTCCTAGTATTCTATGATTCTATATAATTATTCGTGCAATTGCAAAAAATTGACGTCTATTTGATATAAAATGAATATACGTTTTGTGATTTTATTTGGAAATAGATAAATAAAACCGAAAACATTAACAAAGTATCCCCCTCGACTGCCCCAGAGCCAGGCACTCCCATATCCCCGTTCTAACCCAATTCCCCTCTGCTCCCCTAGAGAACCCCTCTGACCCAACGCCTCCCCCCTCCCCCAGCCCCAGGCACTCCCATATCCCCGTTCTAACCCAATTCCCCTCTGCTCCCCTAGAGAACCCCTCTGCCCCAGCGCCGCCCCCAGCCCCAGAGCCAGGCACTCCCCCCTTCTCATCAAGTCATGGGAAAGGAACCAAGTGAAGCACTATATATTGGTGTTGCGCATCTCTTCAGAGAATGGTCACCTATCGACTCCAGACTTTGGGTTGAGAGGTTGACTACATACAGGATAGAACAATGACTCTCTTCTCATGGAAGTTCATATAACTGACCAGGCTTTATTCATTTTGTATATATAGAGGTGTATTTGAACTTTGCATTCCAACCAGTAGCTTAAAAGACTTATTTTAAAAATCAGACAGCAGGTTCTTTAAGCAGCTAATTTATTTAGTGAGATTTTACTGTTAATAGCTTTGAAATAAAAATCTGCTGACTTGCCCAGGGAGCTCAGGCATGGATACTAAGACTTCAGCATGCTGATTTCCTCCAAATAAACCTCAGTTCTGCTACTGAGAAATAGCTTGGAACGCTCTTCATCTTCTGCTGCTCCAAAACGCTCCAAAATGTAAGGGATTGAGTTGGGGCTGTGATTTTGATGTAAACAGATGGAACCTAACCAGGGCACTCTGGAGCTTAGTGCATGAGCCTCTACAGCAGGGGTGGGCAAAAGGACCTCCGTGGACTGGATGCAGCCTGCCAAGCAGATGGATCTGGCCCACGGAGGGCCTGCTGTTCCCCCGCCCCCAAGCCAAGTAGGGCCTGAGGGCAGGGGAGCTCCTAAAGCCTCCTTCCACCCTGTGAGCAGCACGTGGTGCTTGGAAGTGCCGTGTGCTGCTCGCTGGGGGGGGCAGAGCAGAGAAAGCTTCACGTGCTCTCCTGCCCCCAAACCCTAATTGGCCTGGGGTGGGGGGGGAGCAGGGCCTCCGCAGACCGGAGCCGACCCAGGGAGGCCCTTTGGCCTGCCTCTGAGCTACATGCTTTGTCAGTCTGTAACGCACTAGACTGCTGGGTTGTTTTTAAGTGTTTCCCGTTGCAGACTAACTCAGCCACCCCGCCGCCGCCTTAAAAACGGTTCTGCACCGTTCCAGTCCTTCTTGCCGCCCTGTTTCCTTTCTCCTTTGGCGAGTTGGGCAGCCAGGCGTTTGGGTAAAAACGTATCAGACGTGCCCACAGTGCCGGCTCCACCTCCGCTGGGGCTGGATAATCGGAGCCTCGGCCGCTGGGGGCATCACTGAAATGACAGATCACCCCACCGTTTGGTGCAGACTTTCCAACCCCCAGTCCTAGCAGAGACGTGGGATTAACGTGGCTTTCGTGTTCGGACGTTGTGATTGTGAACCCTGGCGAGGCAGTCTGCCCCAGGCAAGGCTGGCCTTGGATCTGGACATCTGTGGCTTCCGTTGAATGGCTTGTGTGCAATTTGGAAGAGCAGCTGAGAGAGACCTCTCTCCTTTACTTAAGGGACTGCATAGTCCCGTCTTTTGTTTCAGAAGGACCAGACTCACACGGCTCCCTCTCTAGGACTATTTTACTTACGGAGAGACTCTCACGGCAGCGTGAAGGAAGAAGTCCTCAGGCAGACAGAAAGCCACTTGCAGGGTATCCTCAGCCTTACGCTGCTTATTGCCGCAAGTGCCTTCAAGAAGGCGAGGGGGACTCTTGTGTTGTGTGTGAATCTTATTTAAAAGTTTTTCGGAGCGTTATTTTAACAGGTAAGTTAATCTCTTACATGGAGAACTCGCGTGTGGTTTTTTGCGGTGCGATAACGTGAAAAACAATTAGGTTAACTAGGTAAGTAAATGGGTAGTTAGGGAACATTACAGATTGCTGAGAATAAATTGATTAGGGATCTTGTTAGTCTTTGAAGTGTTACATAACTTGTTTTCTTTTTGTTTTACCAAGATTGGACTAACACGGCTACCTCTCTGTTACAATAAATTTGATATGCTCAAAATCTTGTTTACTTTTCTTCATTAAAGCAATGGGCTACTCATTTGCTATAACAGTGGTTTTAAATGCTTGAAGGAAATATATGAATTTCATCGCTATTTAGGTTGTATAACATTAACTTCTCATGTTTTATAAAACTTACATATTTAAGAATCTGACCTTATGTAAAAGACATGAACCTAATCAGTGGGAAATAGGTCACTGGAGGGATGATATGAATTACTAGAGAACTTTCTGGGTGTCTGGCTGGTGAGTCTTGCCCACATGCTCAGGGTTTAGCTGATCGCCATATTTGGGGTCGGGAAGGAATTTTCCTCCAGGGTAGATTGGCAGAGGCCCTGGAGGTTTTTCGCCTTCCTCTGTAGCATGGGGTACAGATCACAGCTGGAGGATTCTCTGCATCTTGGGGTCTTCAAAGTATTTGAAGGCTTCAATATCTGAGACCTAGGTGAGAGGATTATTCTAGGAGGGGTGGGTGAGATTCTGTGGCCTGCACTGTGCAGGGGTCAGACTAGATGATCATAATGGTCCCTTCTGACCTTAAAGTCTATGAGTCTAATGAGAATGGGATATGAACAAATTAAAGAGAAAAAAATATTTAACAGAATAAACCACCAAACTATATCCTTTGTCTGTCTGTCATTAGTAAAGTAAGTAATTCATTACACAAATACCCTAAGAGGTGGATGATTTACAGGGGTGCAGTGAGGAGGGGAAGTGGGCCCTGGGTACCACACTAGTGAGGGGCCAGTACAGTCCCCTTATACTCCCCCTGTCATCCCCCTGCTCACCTGCGCCTCCTCTGCCGCCACCACCCCGCCCCGCCTCTCTGCCCCCAGCCAGACCCCCTCCACCTCTGCCAGAGGGTCAGTGCAGGGGACCAGCCCCAAACTGGAGGGGTCTGGTAAGACTCGGTGCCAGCTCCCCCCACCCCTCCCAGGGCCGAGCTCAGCCATGCGCCAGGTTTGGGGCCCCAGCATTTGGCGGTGGCGGGGGGCCATTCTGCCGTCACACCCGGGCGCATAACACCTCGTTGCGCCTCTGCCCCGGGACCCTCCTTCCCCCATCCCCGCCTGGCCTGTGACACTAGGATCGGTGTGCACTAGCGCCTGGCCTGTGACACTAGGATCGGTGTGCACTAGCGCCTGGCCTGTGACACTAGGATCGGTGTGCACTAGCGCCTGGCCTGTGACACTAGGATCGGTGTGCACTAGCGCCTGGCCTGTGACACTAGGATCGGTGTGCACTAGCGCCTGGCCTGTGACACTAGGATCGGTGTGCACTAGCGCCTGGCCTGTGACACTAGGATCGGTGTGCACTAGCGCCTGGCCTGTGACACTAGGATCGGTGTGCACTAGCGCCTGGCCTGTGACACTAGGATCGGTGTGCACTAGCGCCTGGCCTGTGACACTAGGATCGGTGTGCACTAGCGCCTGGCCTGTGACACTAGGATCGGTGTGCACTAGCGCCTGGCCTGTGACACTAGGATCGGTGTGCACTAGCGCCTGGCCTGTGACACTAGGATCGGTGTGCACTAGCGCCTGGCCTGTGACACTAGGATCGGTGTGCACTCAGTGCCTGGCTGTGACACTAGGACCGGTGTGCACTAGCGCCTGGCCTGTGACACTAGGATCGGTGTGCACTAGCGCCTGGCCTGTGACACTAGGATCGGTGTGCACTAGCGCCTGGCCTGTGACACTAGGACTGGTGTGCACTAGCGCCGGGCCTGTGACACTAGGACTGGTGTGCACAAGCGCTGGGCCTGCGGCACCAGGGAGCAGTGTGCTAATGAAGCCCGGGAAATTCAAATCCCGGGCTTCATTAGCAAGTTCGGTATGCAAGTTCGAACTAGGCCTGTGACACTAGGATCGGTGTGCACTAGCGCCTGGCCTGTGACACTAGGACTGGTGTGCACTAGCGCCGGGCCTGTGACACTAGGACTGGTGTGCACAAGCGCTGGGCCTGCGGCACCAGGGAGCAGTGTGCTAATGAAGCCCGGGAAATTCAAATCCCGGGCTTCATTAGCAAGTTCGGTATGCAAGTTCGAACTAGGGGGGTAGTGTAGACATACCCTCCGTGCTTAAGGTCTGAAAACTAGAAGAAAATGTTATTGGAACCCAAATTAAGTATAGCCCATTTTTGTTAAAACACTGCAAATGATAAGAGCTTATAGAGATGAATAAAAATATGCATTTGACTCCCCATTACAAATTGCTCAACATTTAAATGGAAAAAATGAACAATCCCTTTTTTAAAGAAATCCAAACAAAAATTAACTTCAAAAAATAACCCTGTCTTATTGAAAAATAGTCATTTCAATAAAGCATGTGCATTTCCCTTTTATTTAAAAAAACGTAATTGAGTTTAGGAACCAGCAATGCCAGGTAAATCGGCTAGCTAACAAGAACTGTAGAAAGCACAGATCCTGCATCCGGGCTGGAACCAATCCCTACCTGATAGCAGTCACAAAGAAATCTCCCCGTAAGCAGTTGATTCCTGACGTGTGCCACGGTTTCTTGTACCTCCATTGAAGTACCCGGTGCTGCCGGTGTTGGGGAGAGGCTGTCGGACGAGAGGGACAGCGTGTCAGCCCGGGCACGGGCGTGCTAAATTCCCGTGTCAGCCGTGAGTGGATTCTCCCCGAGAGTGGAAAATGCCCCGTTCCCGGAGAAGGCGCAGGGCTGGAAGTGGCAGGGTGCGGCTGGCGGAGCAGGTGCTGAGCTGGTCACGGTTTGTGGTTGCAGGCGCCGGTGGCGTTCGAGGACGTGGCGGTCTATTTCTCGCCGGCGGAGTGGGCGGAGCTGGCGGCCTGGCAGCGGGAGCTGTACCGGGAGGTGATGGGGCAGAACTACGCGCTGGTGGCC